TAATAAGGAACATATGGGTTTGACCCACAAGGTCAGTGGTTCAAACTCACCAGCCACCCCTAGGAAACCTATGCAGGGTCACTATGAGTCAGAACCAACTTAACTTAACCCATTACTTGCTTTTTTTTTTGGTAATAATTATATATATATATAACCTACTGCTAATAATTAAGGAAGACTGTATTAATAAGGAAGACCGTAGAGAATTGATGCTTTTGAGTTATGCAGTTGGAGAATATTGAAAGTACCATGGGACTGCCAAAAGAACCAACAGATCTGTGCTGGAAGAAGTGCAGCCAGAGTGCTTCTTGGAGGCCAGGATGGCCAAACTTCATCTCTCATACTTTGGACATATTGTCAGGAGGGACCAGTCGTTAGAGAAGGACAGCATGTTTGCTAAGGTGGAGGGTCAGAGAAAAAGAGGCAGGGTGGCATCAGTTGGCTGAAGTGTGGCAACAATTGTGAAGTTGGCCCAGGACCAGGCAGTGTTTTGTTCTGCTGTACATAGGGTCGCTATGAGTCAGTACTGACTCGATGGTACAATAGCTACAACAATCGCTGTTAATTCTGACTCCTAGTGATCCAGTAGGCCAGAATAGAATTGCCCCATAGGGTTTCCAAGACCATAAATCTCGATGGAAACAGCATACCACATCTTTCTCTCACTGAGTAGCTGGTGGGTTCCAATCACTGACCTTATGGTTAGCAGTGAGTGCTTAACCACTGTGCCACGAGGCTCATAATTTATAAGTAGCTGTTTAAATTTTCCTTTCAAATCTGTCTTGTGGTGTCTTCCATTGCCTTTTGTTATTGTTGTTGTTAAGTGCCATCTAGTCAGTTCTGACCCTGTATAGAGTTTCTGAGGAGCAGCTGGTGAGCTTGAACCCTGACCACGTGGTTCACAATGACTTTGCAGTCCAACGCATTAACCCACAGCACCACACCAGGACTCTATCCATTGTTTTTAACTATAGAAAATCTTTATCATGCTTATATCCACCTATGTTTTGTTCCTGCTATATTTTCTTAGTCTAACTTATTTACTCTCTTGCTTTGATTATATATTTTCTTTAAGTTTAAACATGGAACCTTTTGGACTTCTAGTGTGGTGCTGTAGGATCAGCACTGGACTGTGAACCACAAGGTCGGCAGTTCCAACTCGCCAGCTGCTCGGAAATCCTACATAGGGTTGCTGTGAGTTGGAACTGACTCGACAGCATTTAATAGCAGTGGAGCCTTTTAGTGCATGGTCTAAAATGTGCCAGTAGATTCTGACTCATGGCATTCCCTTGTGTGTTAGAGCAGAACTGTGCTGCATAAGGTTTTCAATAACTGATTTTTCAGAAGTAAATTGACAGATCTTTTGTCTTGAGATGCTGCCAAGTGGACTCAAACCACCATTCTTTCAGTTAGCAACTGAGCACATTAACCTTTTATACCACCCAGAAACTCCTATGATGCAAAATTAGGCATCAGTTTAATTTGTAACAAATAATTGATTTTTTTTCCCTTGTACTTATTTAGGATTCCATCATCATATATTAAACTTATATGAAAAACCCACTTCCACTGAGTCAATTCTGATTCACAGCGACCCTGTAGTATAGAGTAGAGCTGCCCTGTAGGGATTCTAAGGCTGTGCATTTTTGTGGAATAAGACTGCCCTATCTTTTTCCTACACAGCGCTGGTAGGTTTGAACTTTTCAATTAACAACTGACCACTTAGTTACTGTGCCACCAAGGATCAACTAAATTTACACATGTATGTATGCATATTTGCTTAAATGTTTTCTATTTTATTCACTTTACCATCTATCAGTGCTTAATCTGTTGGTTTGCTTGAATGTTATTGTTAAGTTATATCAAGTTGATTCCAACTCATACCCTCCCTGTATAGGGTATCATGGGATTAAAATCTTTATAGGAGCAGAAATCTCATCTTTATCCTGTGGAGCAGCTGGAGAGCTGGAGTCACTGACCTTGTGGGCCACAGTTAGGAGTCACCACACTCAGGAGTTCACAGTTAAAAAAGAGTCCTACTGTTAGGAGTCACCATACTCTTGACTGAATATGATTGGTCAGTTCTCTTGTCTTAACTGCCACGTCAGCAGTTTGAATCCATCAGCTGTTCCATGTGAGAAAGATGAAGCTTTCTGCTTCCGTAAAGCTGTCCAGTCTTGGAAACCCCATTCAGGGTCTTTTCTCTCTCTTTTTCCCTATATGAAGTGTATTTTTATTGCTCTTATTTTCTCCAGGACTAGGGCAGATGTTCTTAACAAAACATATAAAATCAAAGAACATTTCGGTGATTTTTGACTCCCTGTATGGAAATGAAGACATTTGGCATACTTTAATTTTGTCTGAGGTCTTTTCTCCTCATGAGTCTCTGTGGCCTCATTTTGTAGATGCAGATATTACTATTGTCTAACTTTTACTTACTTTTGCATATTTTTTAAAATATATTTTTCCCATCAAAAATAGTTTGCCTTGGTTTTCCTAACATTTTATTATGAAAATTTCAAACATACCACACAGTTGAAAGAATTTTACAGTGAATATATATATACACACCACCTAGATTATCTCACTAACATTGTAACTGTACTTGCACATCTATCTAGCCAACTATCTATTCCTGTTCATTTATTCATCTTAATTGTTGATGAATTTCAAAGTGCTATTATTACATTCAATTT